TTTTTTAAAAAAGAATTTCATGGTGGCTCACAACCATCTGTAATGGGGTCTGGTGCCCTCTTCTGGCCTGCAGGCATACACACAGACAGAATATTGTATACATAATAAATAAATAAATATATTTTTTTTTAAAAAAAAGAATTTCATCCATGAAACAAAAAGGTTATTAAATTCCTGGATGGCAACATTGTCTGCAATTATCTTGGAGTTTGTTTACAATTTTTAAATATTTTTATTTGTTACTCAAATGAATTCATCTCCATTATAGTTTTTCAGAAAAATTGGTAAGCAGAGACTGCTTGTTCATTTCCCAGCCGCCTAGACCCAGATAATCGTACAGAAACAATATTAATTATAACACTGCTTGGCCAATGACATATTTCTAGCTAGCTCTTATATCTTAAATCAACCCATTTCTATTAATCTGGGTATTACCACAAGGCGGTGGCCTACTAGTAAAGTTCCAGCTGGCATGCCCTTCTCCTTTGGCAGCTGCATGGCATCTGCCTCTTCCTACTCTCTCTATATCTCTGTTTGGATTTCCCATCAGACTTTGCTCTGCTACAGCCATTGGCCAAAATAGCTTTATTCATCAACCAATAAAGCAACACATATACAGAAGGACATCCCACATCAATGCCCAGCTAGCTGACTGTTTTTCAGTCCTGAGCACACACTAGCTGAGGTGTTTATCCTCCTGGGCCCCTTTTCTTCAGACTCCCCATCCTCACTGACTGCTGCTGTTTCCTGTGCCCTTGCCAAGCACCCCGATGCCCCAATAGCCCACACTGGAAGCCCATGCCCACTTCTCAGTCCTCAGTTTACCTGACCTTGTTTGTCCAAGTGACTTATCCTTCATAGACAGCTTCACCGATTCCCCCTCTCCCTGGCCACTGCACTATGGCGCGCCCCGGGCTAAGTTTTCTGTCTATGCTCAAATTCAAGAGCCTTCCCCCAAGCTAGTGGCTTTCAATATCATGCATACAGCAGTAACTCTCAGGCCATTCCTTTGCTTTAGTAGATTGTCCACTTGAAGGCCTAGCAGCATGTTAAAGTTAATGGGACCAAGCAACATCATGGGTCCCACCAGTAATTCCAGTACATGAGAGATGGCTGCAGACAATCAGGCATTTGAAGGCCATCCGTGTCTACAGACCAAGTCTGAGCCTAACACGGGCTACATGAGATACTCCCCACCCAAGAAAAATCTGAACAAATATAAAGATACTAAGTATCCCTGATCCTAGGGGATCAGGGGATCCTCAGCTTTCACATGCTCTTTTTTTTTTTTTAAAGAGATTTATTTATTTATTTATTTTGTATATAGTGTACTGGCTGCATGTGTGCCTGCAGGCCAGAAGAGGGCACCAGATCTCAATACAGATGGTTGTGAGCCATTGTGTGGCTGGGAATTGAACTCAGGACTGGTGCTCTTAACTTCTGAGCCATCTCTCCAGTCCCTCAAATGCTCTTCTAATCACCCCACATCACCAATGGCACTGCCCTTCTGTCCAGCCCCCCAGGCTCAGAACCCCAAGTCTTGATTCTGCTGCCTCCTCTATCCAACATCAGCTCACTAAAAACCAATCTGGCCGGGTGGTGGTGCACACACCTTTACTCCCAACACTCAGGAGGCAGAGGCAGGCGGATCTCTGTGAGTTGAGGGCAGTCTGGTCTACAGAGTGAGTTCCAGGACACCCAGGGATACACAAAGAAATCCAGTCTTGAAAAAACAAAACAAAAAAGGAAACAACAGCAGTACAAAAGAAAAACCAATCTGTATTGTTTTGTTTTGTTTTGTTTTGTTTTGTTTTGTTTTTGAGACAAGGTTTCTCTGTGTAACAGCCCAGGCTGTTCTGGAGCTTCCTCTGTAAATCAAGCTGGCCTCAAACTCAGAGATCCCCCTGCCTCTGCCTCCCAAGTATTATAGGCACGTACCACCACCATTCAGCTAAAAGAAGTATTTATTTTATTTTTATTTACACGTGTTTGTATATGCATATAGGTTCCTGTGGAGACCGGGGTGTCAGACACATGGTGTGAGCCACCAGCTGTGGGGACTGGGATCCAAACTGGGGTCCTCTATAAGAGCAGTATGCACTATTTTCTGTGCTGGAAATTGGTGTGTTTGTGTCTGTGTGTCTGCGTCTGTGTGCATAGAGCCAGGGGACAACCTCAGGCTGCACCCTCAGGAAGGCAGTCCACCTCCTTTGAGGCAAGGTCTGTCACAGCTCACCAGTTGATCTAGATTGGCAGGTCTAGAGTCCCGCCCCTCCATCTGCTTTGGGATTACTAGCATGCACCACAGGTATTCTTACCTAGATTGTAGAGTTGGAAGTCAGGTCCCTATGTTTATAATGCAAACACTTCACTGACTGGGCTATCACTCTAGATCCTGAGTTCAGGGTCCTAGGAATTCTAAGAAAACATTCTCCCAAGCACATAGCTTCTTTCTTCCTTTCCTATTTTATTCTATCGCTCCCTCCTTTTTAATTTAATTTTTATATTTCGGGTGTATAGGTGTTTAGCCTGCATGTATGCATGTGGACCACATGCATGCCTGGTGCCTGAAGACAGAAGGTGTTGGATCCCCTGGAACTGGAGTTGCAGGCAGTTGTGAGCCACCATTTGGGTGCTGTGAATCAAACACAGGGCCTGTGGAAGAGGAGTCAGTGCTTTTAACCACTGGGTCATTTCTCCAGCCCCTCCTTCCATTTTTTAGATTTGATTTCTCTGTTGCCAAGAATGATCTCCTAAACTCAACAGATCTTCTTACTCCACCCTTCTAGTCACTGGGACCCGGAGGCGTGTGCCATCATGCCCAACTCCAGGCCATTGTTTAAGTGAACATAAAGGCAGCTTTTTTTTTTTTTAAAGATTTATTTATTTGTTTATTATGTATACAACATTCTGCCTCCATGTATGCCCGCACGCCAGAAGAGGGCGCCAGATCTCATTACAGATGGTTGTGAATAAAGGCAGCTTTTTAAGAAAGGGAAAATGTTCCCAAGAATGAGAGTGGACTAGTAGGTGGCAAGGCCAACCGAAATCCCGTTTTTATCTTTGACATCCGCAGGGACTGCAGTTTATTCTCGCCGCTCTCCTGCTCCCACCACGGCCACCCGAACCACCTGACCCTAGCCATCCCTCCGTGCAATTTAGCCTTCACTGGGCGGCAGGGTGGCTTGGCGGCTGTTTTGCTCAAAGCCCTCAGTGTCTTCTCAAAGGGCGCAATATAAAAGTTCCAATTCTAACAGAGCTGAGCAAAGCCAAACATAAAACCCTGCCTCTTGCCAGCATAGTCACGCTGTCCTTTAATCCCAGCACTCCAGAGGCTGAGGTGGGCGGAGCTCTGTGAGTTCAAGAGCAGCTCGGTCTAAAGAGTAAGTTTCAGGTCTGCCAGGCCGTATAAAGAGACCTTGTATAAACAACAAACAAACAACATAAAGAAAGAAAGAAAGAAAGAAAGAAAAGAGCGAGCTCTAGCAGGCTGGTTGCTTCTGCTCCTCCTAAGTGAGGCAACACGGTGCGTGCGCTGGGCTTGGCAAGTCCCTCGGGACTCCCAACTCGCAGAATGCTCTGGCAATCCAAAGCACAGTGGGGAAATCATGGGGGGATTTGCAGAAGGAGGGGATCTCTGTGCTGGGTGTGAGCTGGATGAGGGAAACAGAGGCATGCTAAGTCGGGGGACAGACTCAACAGGAACTTAAAGAGAGGCAGAGCCCAGAGTGCTCCAGGGCACTATGGTACTACAACTGTCTCCTTAGGCAGGAAGTGCGAAACCTGCTCCAGAATTAACCACCCGAGCAGAGGACAGATATGGGCTGCCTCTCCCATATGTCTGTGCACAATGTGCATGCAGTACCTGTGGCAGCCAGGAGAGGGCATCAGATTCCCCTATGACTGTTGTCAACTGCCATGTGAGTGCCAGGAATCAAGCCTGTGTCCTCTGGAAGAACAGCCGGTGCTCTTAATTGCAGAGCCGTTTCTCTCCAGTCTCATTCTCCGTCTTAGTTTTCTAGACAGGTGAACCCAGAGCTCAGCAACTGGGCAAGATTGACTGGCCAGCAAGACCCAGAGATCTTTCTGCCTCCTCCTCCCCAGAGCTGGGATCAGGAGCGCGTTGCCACATCTGACATATGGTGCTAGGCAGTCATGCTTGCTTGGCAATCGCTTTCCCAACTGAACAGCCTCCTCAGCTTTCTTTTCTTTTAGAGATGAGGTCTTCTGTAGCTCAGTCTGGCCTGGAGCATCCTTTTTGTTTGTTGTGTTTTCTTTGTTTATTTGTCAAGAGACAGCGTCTCACCAGGCACTTTGGCTGGCTTGGACTCACTATCTAGAACATGCTAGCCTCGAACTCACAAAGATCCACCTATGTCTGCTGGAAATAGGGGTGTGTGCCACTATATATACTTGCCTTGAACTTCTAGTCTCTCTGCTTCTACGTCCCGAGAGCTGGGATGACAGGCTTGTACCTCTACACCGCATTTCATTTTTCCTCACTTGTCACAACATTGATGGTCATCAGAAGTAGAAAGCGGGGTTCCCAGGGTCTCTCCTCTCTGCCTGAGGGACAGATAAATGCCTATGCCAGCTCCAGATTGATGCTGGGTCCCAGGTCTTTCAACTTCTTGGGCTTGCTCTCCATATCTTGTTCCAGTCAGAGACAGCTGGCATCTCTCACTAGAGACTGAGGTGGTATAAATATGGGGGAGGGGAAGAAGTCGGCAGGAGCCCAAGGGGAACAAGGGCCTGGATGTGGGAGGCAGTGGCCAGAACTGGGTGGCCAGCATGGCAGTCCTCATGGAGTGAGGAACAGCACCAGTAGAGAAGTTTGGGGGCTTTCAGGGAAGGTGGGGTGATGTCAGATTCTCACACTGCTCCCCAGTCCCTGCTGTCTCCTTTCCTCTACATTCACTCCTTAAGCTGCCTGTGGCTAATTCTTCCTGGTCTCTTTAAGAGCTGCCTGGGAACTGGGGCACTGGAGGGGGCTGGCAGGCCCTCTCCCCTACCATGCTGTGCCCTTGCTCCGCCCCCTGCCGGGTACAGACTCTGCTGGAAGTCTCGGTCGCCTGGGTTAGGGTCTGTATTGCTGGGTCCTTGGGAGGGGACCATGATCCCTGGGAGTGGGGGTGGAATGCCATAGCATGGAGCGTCTGTGTGCCAGCTTCAGGGTGCCGTGGTGGGGTGAAGTCTGTCTCTCCTACCTCTTGAGGGGCAGGGCACCCCCAGGAGCCACAGTTTGCCTGGGACTCTTTCCCTCCCTCCCCACCTCTTTTCCCCAGGGACTTCTCATTTGCTAAAGTCCACCAGCCACTCGCTGTCCTTCCCACAATCAACAATACCGGCCACTCCATCTTCCCACAGGTAGGAAAACCAAGGCTAAGGAATCAGAGGAAATTGCATTCACAGCAGCAGAGGCAATGGCTTTTCCCTTTCCTCCCGAGAGTTGTCAACAAGAGAGCTAGGTGTCAGACCAGTCCTTTGGTTCCCTCTCCAACCAAGGCCACACAGGAACTAAAAGCCTTATTCTCTGGAAGCTGAGCTCCAGGGTAAGGCGCCGAGGAGACCTGTAGGCACCCTTTTCCTTGGACCGCTATGGGAGGCAGTCCCTTCCAATCCTGCCACAGAGACTGGGCTCACCTCCCTCAGAGTGAAGGTGGTGGCAGCAGAGTCAAGGACCTCGATTGGGATGGGTCCTTCTGTGCCTCAACCTCTGCTTACCGCCCTGACTCCATTTCCTCAAGTGCCTGGGGCGAGTACCAGGCTCCACGTAGTATGGCAGGGACGGTGACAGTGGGTTAGAAACAGGAAAAATGTGACTGACCCTGCTGAGTCCACTTCTACCTTCAGCACAAAGCATCTCCTCCTTGGCAGTCCCACCCTGAAAGGAAATGTTTACCCATCTCAACCTAGACCCACAAGGGAACCAGCCCGGGCTTGTAAAGCCTCCTGCCCTGCCTGGCCCCTCCAGGGCACTCACTTCCTTTTTCCTAAAAATACTGTGAAGTTTGCGGAAGGGCCAGGCTGCTTGCAGGTGGCCTGAAGAGCCCTTTTATTTATGCGAGCACGAGAGGGCAAGGGCCAATGGGATCACATAGCAAGTTATAGACGACCAGGCTGGCACCCAAAGACCCTGCTTCTTAGGTCCATGGTGCCCAGTGGGCAGTCATGAGCTCCTAGAAAGCCAACCTGCAGGGTCTTTCCTAGTTCCTCCCTTTGTTGAAGAAGTTGAGGTTCTGCGGAGACAGACGTTCTAATGACAGGGTTACTTGGGAGCAGGGCATCTTCCAAAGCTTCTCTGCTTGTTTTTGCTGTTTTCCAAATGAGAAAGAGTCAAGAGGAGTGCTGTGTCTAATCTTCTGTTCCCATTTACCATTAGACTTTTGGGAAATTCTTTTTGGTCTGCCTCCTATCCACCTCTTACAACACAGACCTTGGGTCTCAGGGGGTGTTAGCTGATGACTTCTGGAGACACCGTTTCCTTTGTAAGGCTGTAAGGTGACTCAGGAAGGGAGTGCAGTACCTGGACCTGAGAAGAGTAGCCCCTCCCTCAGAGATCAGGGTATCAATGAAGATGGTTTCTTGAGCATCTTGGTGGAGACCCCCTGCATCCATACATGTCTTTGTATACATCTTCATTGGTAAACTCCAGTTGTCGGTGACTGGCTAGCATCCAGGTGCATCTTCCTTATGCATTCACAGTACTTCGGAAAGCTGGAGATGACGAGAAACTGGCCATGAAGGGGATTGCCTCAGTGGTCTCCTAAGGCCAATACCTGCACACTGGTGCCGGCTGAGGGTGGACAAAGGAACTGAGTAAGGACCCTGGGGGTTAGAGGATGCCCCCCTGGCCACATCTGGAGTCCTGCCTACACATATGAGAATCCAGGAGCCACAGGAGTGGGGCACAGCGGGACAGGAGAGGAGGAGGAAGAATATGGGGAGATTCTAGTCCCTCCCACTTAGAGATGCGGTCGCCATGGTGACTAAGGACCAGTGAGGTGGGATGGGGTTGGGGATGGGGGTGGGAGGGTGGCGGGAGGGTGGCGGGAAGGAGGCACTGGGAGACCGGAAAGCCAAGCCGCCTGGCATTCCACGGGGAGGGAAGCTCAAAGGCATCCCCAGCTCCAGGTAAGAAGCGGGAGAGCCGACAGACAGAACAGAGGGGCGGGCCATTGTCTGGCGCTGTCTCTGCCCTGAGGAGGGAAAACAGAGAAGTCAGACCATTGTGTGTAATGCTCAATGCAGCTTCCAGCACTAGCCAGACTGGGAGAGGGAACCCAAGAGGCACTGGCTAAGGGGTCAGGCAGATGGAGAGGGGTGGGCAGTAAGAATGCTGGAGACCTGCAGGGACAGGAAGAGGTGGGGGTGGTGATGGGGACATGGACTGGGGACATCCTTAGTGCCTTCACACGCGCGCAAGCACACACACACACACACACACACACACACGGGGGGGGCACTCAATCTATGTAAGTTGATTTGACTGGCTATAATCATGAGAGAAGGTCAGGGCCATGGGTAGAAAGGGGAACAGGAAAAGGATATTCCCCAAGACCCTGCTCTCCTGAGGGCGGCCCCTAAGGCTAGGAAGAAAAGGAGGCTGGGAAAACTGGACCTGTCAGTCACTGGTGAACCTGGTGGTTTCCCTCAGAGCAAGGCAGGGGTAGGGTTAGGAATCAACCTTCCAGAATCCCTCCCTCCTCATTCCTGCGTCCATTGTTGATCAAGTCCCACGGGAGGGAGCTACTCTCCTTTACGGTCTAGGGGTTGTGGGGAGGACTTGAGGGGACTGGAATTTGATGGGGGAGCTTAAGTTTAATGCTGTTATTTCTGGGGGCTGAATGCTCCTGGGGATTCCCCAGACTGAGCTCCAGGCCTTATGGAGAATTGAGTTGGGGGAACAGGAATGGGGCAATGAAGATGGTGTTTCCGTCTCTAGACCGCCTGCTGCCTGACGCCAGCCCTGGCTCAGATGCTTCCGGTCACTGGCCTTGGTTTCCTCATTTGTGTAGCAAGGGAGGGTGTGTGGCTTCCCAGCTCAGAGCTTCCTGGGAGCAGAACCTAATACATAATTTGTGGGGCCCAGCATGAATGAAAATGTAGTCCTCTTTAAAAGAAAACATTGAGGACTTTCAAGACGGCAGCAGCAAAGGAAGCCTCTAAACTTACTAAGCGCAGTCTCCCCTGAGGACGGGGTCCTATGTGACTGAAACTGTGAGGTTCAAGGGTGAGGGTGTGCTGCTGGGGCCCTGTGCCTTTCTCCCACCTGCCTCTGCTCTGAGCTTGACCTGAAAGGCACTGTGGAGAGAGAGTGGGTGGCACGGCGGGACAGGAAGTACCTGGGCTGAGATCAGATGGCCTCTCTTAGAGGAGGTTTCTGTTCCATCTGAGTCAGGACTCATCTCAGAGTGACTGGAGGATCTGAGAGTCCCTGATCCTCCCACCCTGATGCTTGGTTACTCCATCCATTGATCAGTTCCGAGCTAAGTTAACCCAGGCGGTAGGAGCCAGCCCCGACAGCGTCCCCGACCTGTGAAAGCTGGGAGGCCTGCAGCCCCACTGGCAACGCCTCACCCTGTCCAGTGGGAGCAGGAGGGCACTGGCTCCTGTGGGGAGCAGAGATAGGACAAGCACCAGAGCCGCTTCTCTGGCTCCCCCATTACGGCTCCTCCCTGTGACCCAGATAGGCCAATCTGTCCCCAAAGAGAGGCCCTGGGGTGATGGCTTCCCAAGCCTGAGCTGGAGGTCAAGGAGACTCAGAAGATGATGTCAGGAGGGCAGAGAGATTGGCAATCAGCGTCAGGGTTTGGGGGAGTCTTAGTAAGTTTTGACAGAACTAGTCCTCACAAGCGGTCTGTGTGAGCCCAGCTCCTGAGCCACGGCCGAGGATGGGAGCAGAAGGAGAGGCTCTCTCTACCAATGGATGCTGCTACCCTGAGCTGTAACTGGAAGGGTAGAGGTTGTCCTTCAGGGAGGACCATCCTGGCAGTGAGAAATGTGTTTAGGATGGAGATGGAATACTTAGTGGAGACAGAGCAGCCTGGGTCACTGTGCCCATCAACCTGAAGTCAGCTGACCGGGGTGAGTGGGTAGGAGCCCAACCACTCTTTATTGGCCTCGGAACCCTTGGTGCCTCATTAACCCTGCGTTACGAGGTCCTACTCTGAAGCCTCTGGGGAGGAAGAAACAGCCACCATTCCAGTTGGGCGCCTCATCGCCAAAGTGTATCCTATGAAGCATGAGCTCAAATGGGAAATTCTCGAAGTTCCCATTGGCCTGATGCTGCCCTAAGTGTGGGGAGATTGGTCTGCCGGTGGGCGTCCTCAGCAAAGTCACAGAGACAGACCTAAGATGGGTTTGTTGTTGCTGTTGCTGCTGTTTATTTGTTCTGAGGCAGGGTTTCTCTGTGTAGCCCTGGCTGTCCTGGAACTCACAGGGATCCACCTGTCTCTGCTTCCTGAGTGCTGGGATTAAAGGTGGGCGCCACCATGCCTGGCTTTAAATGTTTTATCTTTCAAGGATGTGAGAGGTTTGAAGGTTAGGCTCCTACAACTATTTCTCAGTAGGTGGCAGCAGGGGAACCCCACTCCAGGGTCAGTGAAAAAGAGGAATATGAAAGACAGTGTCACACTGAGCTGTGTTGAGCAAGAGGAGACCGCAGCTTAGGCTGGCTAGATCTAGCGAAAGTGATAGAGAGACAGGGGCATCACTGAAATGGCCTAGGAGAAACTCTTTAATTTCTGGATAGACTAAGCTGAGGGAGGAGGTGTGTCTCCTACAGAGCCTGTGAGCCTCCTCCTCCTCCTCCAATCTCCCCGCCCTGATCCACCATTCACCAACTTCCGCCCAAGCCAGGATCTGTCACAACTCGAGGTAGAAATTCAGGTTTCCCTGGCCTGGGACCCACAGCGGCTCTCGCAGGATGGGTGCCTGGAGTGCCGCGCTCCCATTCCAGCCAGGCTGAGCCTTCTTTATTTGCCTGAACCCCCTCCTTTGCCTTGGATGCTTCAGGGTTTGAACTTGGGACTTCTCAGTGTGACTGACTCAAGGGTATGTGGGATGAGGTGGGCAGCTTGCTTTCGGTGGTTATGGGGGAGGGTGATGTGGAGCTCCAGGGAGCCAGACAACAGAGGCACAGAGACAAGGGGGCTGTAGAGTTTGGGAGCCTGCCAGGGACTCCTGCCCAGGCTACTCCCAGGAAATGCAGATGACCAAGTTGGCAGATAATCTGGCATGCCCCTGCCCCCGAAGAAGAAGACTAGATAGGCCCAATTAAGCAAAAGTAGAGCCCCTGGGGGCTAGGGAAAGAGTAGGCTGCCTGCCTGGGTTGGGATGAGTAGCAGGCAAAATGTGTAGCCACAGCTGAGTGACAGGCCAGCCTGGGGATCTACCCTTTTCATTACAGGAACTTTATGCCCTTTATCCAGGGCCAGGAATGATCAGGGCTCTGGACTATGGGGGCAGGAGATGCTAAAGGGCAAGAGCAGAAAGGTACTCCTGGGTGTCGGGTGAGGTTTTTATAGGAGGAGACCAGAGGCACAGCATGGGCCACTCCAGGACCCCTATCTAGAGGGGAGGGGGAGGCAGCATTGAGGCTGTGAGTGGAATGGAAGCGAGACTCTGAAGGCCCTTCCAGAGAGGAACTTCTACCCCCTGGGGCTCTCCTATTGGCCCTCAGGAAGGGTGTGGTAAGCACGGCTCACCCAGAAAGTGCCTGTTTCCCCAGAGCCATCTGGTGACAGTCTCTGTCTGGCCATGGCCCTGCCATCCCCGGGCCAGGACCCCTGGAGTCTCCTGGGTGGTTTTTTCTTCCAACTGCTCCTGCTGCTGTCACTGCCACCTGCTACTGGGACTGGTGGGCAGGGGCCCACGCCCAGAGTCAAATACCATGCAGGTAAGTGCCTGGTAACTGGGAGGTATGCTAGTGTAATAAAGATGCAGGGGTCGAGAAAGGGGAAGGGGCTGTCAGAGGGAGGGCAACGGAACGGAGAAACAGAGATGCCAGGGAGCAGTGGAGGCCTGGGAGAAGGAAGATCACTTGAGGCACAAACTGATCTGAAAGGGAAGACATGGCTGCTGTTACCCTGCTTCTGCTAAGCCAGTGATTTTTCTTCCTCTCCTCAAGGGTTCCTGTCACCAAGCAAGACACCTTAAATTCCTGACTGCTTTCAAAGCTAAAGCCCTTGCTAGATTGTCTATGGAACTAGTCATTCCAAGTCAACTACAGAGATCACACAAGGCCAGGCTGTGTCCATAGGATGGGCACCAGGAGAAGGCGCCAGCTCACCTTCTCAGTGGCTTCCTGCTGGGGTTGTGGGGCTGCTGAACCCTCTTATTCTAGGAAATACCCCAAGGGAAGTGTTACACACACACACACACACACACACACACACACACACTTCATACACCATCCGTGTAGAAATTAGGCAGTTTTGTTCTCAGCTTAGCAGTCTTCTGAGGCAGAATGGCAAAGGAGATGAAGTGTCGGTGGTGGAAAGAGGGGCATCCCTAGGTGGATGGGAGGGCAGACACAAGCAAGACTGGGCTTCAAGGGAAGCAGGTGAGGCCTCAGGATGAGGAGGGCACAGGGTTCAGGGCAGGGCAGTTCATGAGTACCTTTCCCACTTGGTCTTCTGAGTCCTCCTGGTCCTAAGATTCCTTGATACCAACATGGTAAGAAACAGGCTGTGTGCATCTAACCAAATGTGCAAATGAGGGGGGGCTAAAGTGCTCACTCCTCCTGGCTGATGTGCCAGTTCAGCGAGAACTCACACACTCACACACGTGGAAGTGCACACACGCTACCACACTAGGCAGTGAACGGGCCCTAGTGACCAACATACTTAGCCTGTCCCAGTGGCATTGAGGCATGCCCACACTGCTGGGCTCGAGAGGGAGAGGATGAGGCCTTTCTGATCACAGTGGGATTCCCCTGACAGAGCAGGAGCAGGGAACAGGGGAAGTGGAGGTGGCAGGGGTCCGTGACTATGAC